CCATAATATCTCTGAGATTTTACTTTTCTATATGTTTTGAACAGTTTTGTTCTCTGGCTGCAGGTTGTTCCTACAGCTTCTTAAAGTAGAAAGGGAGGCAGGTCCTTAGATTTGAAGATCCTGTCTCCCAGTTGTAGTCTTCAAGGCAGAACCCCCGTCTAATTTTGGTACTAGATTTAAAGCTGGCCTAGTGTGATTCTACGCTGTTGGGGACATAAATTACCACTTTTCTTTATTGTGTCTCTTTCTTTTACTACTCTCAGATTATTTTAACTTTAAACTTTAAGTTTTTTCCCGGTTCCGTCGCTTTATCGCAGCAGCATCTGGCCTGTAGTTCTGTTTAGCTGTAACATTGGCCAAGAAGTGTGCTTTACCTGTGTGGCTGCTGACAACTTCAGAACTTCTGACAGCTTAGAAAAAAATAATATACAGTATTGGATGGCTGATATTAGCACTCTTTTAGGCTGGAAACCTTTTTAGCGTTTTCAGGAGCTAAACAATTTGGGGATCATGAAAGACAAGCAGGAACCGTCTTCAGCCTTAGAAAATCGATATCAGATGATCTCTACTTCAGACAACTTCTAGATTTGAAGGCTGGTTTAGAGCTCATCTGATTGGCTCTTCTTTGATTCTACATGAAGCCACAGCAGGAGCTAACACTGCCAAAAACCTTTTACTTTAATATAGAAAGATGCCCTAGATTAGTTTTCATGTGCTCTTTACGTATGTATTTATGGTATGTTCTGTATTCTTAAGCCTACAACCAGTCATAGCAGATGAACATCTACATTTACCCTTGTTTTAAAGGAGTTTTTTTATGTTAAAGGATTTTTTTCCCACTGTCATTATGTGGATGCTCACTATGAGCTACTGCTGAAATTTCAATTTATAGTCAGTGTTCCAAAAATGTCATTCATATTTAAACTTTATGCATTGCCTTCATAATAGGTCTATCTTTTTAATGTGATGTGTCCTGTATATATTGAGATACATGTTTTTTGTTTTTTTTTTATCTTAGAATGTGACTCTGGGAACATTTAAGTAGAGAATTAGGTAGGTTTGTTTTTTGTTGTTATTTAATAGCAATCGTTGTAAAATATTACAACCATTGCTTTCTTATATTTCTTGTTCTTAATTTAAATGGTCAACACAATAAACACAGCTAAACAAACAGCAAACAAAAATCAGAAAAACACATGGTTGGTTCATTTTGTGTAATGCACTTTTGGTGAACTTTAATTATGTTTTTTAAAATATGCCACCTAAGTTTTATATCACACTCTGAGAGAGGATTTTATGGAATATCTTTGTGAATATATGTACACAGACGCTGTTTAATTGCCAGTAAGTATGTGCATAAGAATGATTTAATTGCTTGTTATTAAGCACTGCAGTATGTAAATAAACTGTTAGGACATGACAGTTCAGCAGAAACATGCTATACCTGATATTCATGACTAAGCAGACACAGCAGTAAAAGCAACTGCAGAGACAACAAACTGAGAAACTAATTCAAGATGCCTTAGAATAACAGTGACCATCAAAGTAAGTCTGTGTTACTCACTGTTTCAACTGCTTTAGTGTCAGCTTCTAAGTATAAAACAAACATTTTTTTTTTTGCTCCGGTCAATTTAACTGCTGATTACAACGCTCAGCTCTTACGTGATAATCTTCTTGCTAATATAGCATAACTGGGCACACAGGGGCAGTACAAGACTAGAACATGACATTACCCATAATCCAAAGCCCAGAGGATTCACTGATATCAGCTCAGACAAGCATTTAGGGAACTTTCAAAAAGGGCATCTGAGGGGAGCCAGAACCTTTAAACTCATTTTATAAAGTAACTTTACCCTTGGAGAGATAGCTGAAGCAATGCAAACGGACACACCCTAAATCTGCAGATCCAGCATCACATCAATATCCTACTGAGCTAGAATACTTACAATGTGCAAAGCAAGTGGGCATGGGTTAGAATACTATTTTTTGGTGTGTTTGTTTGCCTTTTTTGTAAGCTATAATGTTATAAATGAATTCTCATCATGTCATGTTTGGTGGAAGTTAGTTAAGGACCCAAATGCACCTTGATTTGTGCTTCAAAATGGCTTTGGTTCCATTTAAAGACAGGTTTAAAGCCTTTGCAGGGCAGTGTGAAGCCCACTTCTCTCATTAAGCCATAAAAAAGTGAAGAAAAAAAAAAACAAACGGTCAGTTCATGTGTTTTATAAAATATGTGAAGCAAGAAGTTGTCTATATACCAAACTGAACAGTTTTTGTTCTCTACTTAAAAAAAACCACTGCTGATTATTTTTTCGATTAATAATCGGATAGCCAAAGATTCTTTAAAGAAGGCTTTTTAGAAAATTAAACCAGGTGAAATTAAATCTTTTCAACTTGAGGAGTTCTGTATAGTATAATGGAATATTTGGGCTAGGCTATACATTTTTTTTTTCTAGAATTAAGTTGTAATATTACTATAATAAAGTCCTAACTCTACAAGAATAAATTCGTAATATCATGAAAGTAAAGTTGAAAACTAATAAGAATGAAGTCATCATACCACAATCTGTTTCAGGAAAGAAAGCTTCAAGGTCTGATCAGCATATGAAATATCATATTTATTCTAATAATTTTATGACTTAATTCTTGTTATGACTTTGTTATGACTTTACTCTTGTAATTTTATGACTATTCTCGTTGCAACTTTATTTTATATGACTTCTTTCTCATAATATTACAGTTTTTCCCTCATAATAAAAAAATCTCTAGCCTGGCCCTAATAATCTGTTGTAGTATAGAGGATTTTGACATACAATTACTTTTGTTTTATCTTAAATGCAAGATGTTAATACATTGTTTACAATTTTGGTATAATTAATTTTCCCAACAATACTGGGAAGGGCATACATAAGGATGTTTTTTTTTTTATCCTATCTATTTTTTCCTCTCTAGCTTCAGTTTGTTCTTTAGTAACATACAGCTAGGAATTAGGACATAATGATAGTACATTGTCTGTTATTCCACCTGCCTCTCAATTTTCTGAAATGGTCCTGGGACCATGGTGTGCATGGAAAAAACGATTTGATTTTGTAATAATTTATAATCGTGATAATGTATTGCATTGGTATTATCTTAAATAAATTGTTTGATGGTATTTGTCAAGACAGAGTTAGGATAGCCAGCTATGGTCTGCATTTTTTCTACTGCTGATTAAAATAGGAAAGTGCCTTGAGATGACATGTGTTGCGAATTGGTGCAAAAAAACAAAACAAAACAGTGAGCACTACAGCAACAAGTAGCTTGGAATTTATTTGATTACAAAAAAGAGGTATTAAAGCTGAAACGTAAGTCCTTTCAAGTTTTGGCAGCCTTTTGACATTTACAATGAAAAAAACAAGTGTTTCATGTAAGTATGTGTAAAACAGTACACTATTTCAAAAGATTCTTTAAGAAGTCAAGAACACATTTATTATAGAAATTTGTATACGTTTTTTTCTCTTTTATTCATTTGCATGCACACACACACACACACACACCTGCACACACACACACACTAAAGTCCTTCATTCTATTTAATTTATTTAGTGAAATTTAAGATTCTTACAGTTATACTGTATATATATATATATATATATATATATATATATATATATATATA